GAATCTCTATCACTGTCACCAACATCAACAATTAGTTCTTCTGTTTGTCTGTCTATTACTTGCTCACTGATCCCTATTTTTAAATATTTAATCTACGCCCCTGATAGGAATACTGAAGAATGAGGGCTGCAATCTTTATACCTAAAACTGCCTACTTTTGCCACCGCGCATCCACACCATTTTAAAATTTCCGCCAGCTTCCAGCGTCAGGCCTGTACTTAATGTCTGCATATAAATCCAGAAAAACATTTTGCCTGATTATATACCTACAAGGTCAATATTGTTAGTCAAATTATACAGTTAGTAGACTACAATTCCTGGGAAGTACATTCATTTAAATGCGAACCGTCCAAGAGATAACATCAAACTTGAGAAAAATGAAATAAGTAGAGGCAAAGGCATATACACAGATACTTGGTGGAAACATTGGCGGTACTTCTTTCCTCCATATTCCACAGTTGCACGTTGAGTCAAGGAGTTTCAGCTGAACAGAACATTCACGGAAGATGAGAATCGCGAAGAATGACCATTCACGTTCCTTACTGAAGGTAAGAGAAAACAATCGAAAACGTTGTGTTGGCAAATGGGAGAGTAACCATCAGGCGTGTATCTAGGATCACAAAGATCTCATATGATAGTGTTCCAAGAATCCTTGCGAACAAATTGCATATGAAATATGCCCTAGGCTTTGGGTACCGAGGATGCAAATCGATAAGCAAAAGAAACAACAGCACAGCATTTCGAGGATGAATTTTAAAAAGTTCCACGCAGACCAAGAAAATATTTTGTTACGTTTCGTGACGATTGACGAAATTTGGATCCATCATTTTGATCCTGAAACCAAACAACAATCGATGACTTGGAAGCGAAGTTCCTCACCGACTTTGAATTGAAGAAATTCAAGTTGTCAACACAGACCAACCTTTACCTGCTGTCTTAACAGCGCGTTTTCGAAAGTACCACAAATGGCGTGGTGAGCGCCATCTGTAGTACGATGCTACATTATAGGATTACGTATGCTCCAGGACAGGACAAATGCTAATGCACGTAACTCATAGTTCCTTTGACAGAGCTGTTCAGATGAACCTAAAATAGAAGGTAACGTGTCGGTATTTCTTTTTTTTTGCTACGTTGTGTTTATAATTTTCCAAANAAAAACATTCGTTAAAAATTACAATTTAAATTGTGAATAGCATTTACAGAATATTTTATTCACATACTTCAAACAATTGTATACAAAAAGTCCTAGTATTTAACACAGAATAAGTTAGAAAATCGCCAATTATGTTACTTTGTAAAACCACCCTACCAAGAAGACTAGATATAGAAACAAAACCTAAGCCACAGCGGTTGGCTGTAAAAAATGCCGTGAATACTAAACGATAGAAAACATACGGATCGCTGAGCGATGAGCGACTTCGCATCAGTTTAGTGTTAGCTGTGTTCATTTCCCTTTTTACTTTGATTCACGCATGCGAATCGTTTAATAATTAGTAATACTCCTCAAGCACGCATGCTCATAACTGATTTTCAAAAAATGCGCATGCGCAAACCTTAGAAAATTACCACGAACGAATACATCCATTAACAATTACCAAGCACAAAAGGTGTGTTCGTTTATCTTTTTTACAATGATAAAATGAAACACAACTGATTTGTGATAAATACACATGCCCGAATCATAGTAAATAAGGTAAACAAACGCATCTAAATCACAAAGTCATCTATCCGGAAATCATATTGGATGCCCACTGTTTTAGTGTGTAGTGATCTAAAACGCTCTTACGTCTCGCGATGTACATTACAATTTCACACAGTTTTTACTCCTACCTCCAGTCTACTTGTAGTCTACAAACAAAAGAAGAAAGAAAAATTTACCAAGAAACAATTTTTGAAGGATATGGTGAAACTAAAATACAAAGTTTCTCTAGTCTCAAATAAATATATTCCCTGTACAATAAATTGAACAACAAAATGTAAAAAACAACGTATACGTCAATATTGCACAATTGTAGGTAAAAATACCATTGTATTTACATTTGTAGGTTAGGAAATATTATTTTACAGTAAACTACATTCAAACTCAGACGTTCAACTAATCGATAAAACTGAAAATCTTGATTCAACTATATATTGTTGTGCCATAGAGATACTACATTAATAGAATGATACATAACAAAGACAGCAACTGCAAAAGTACATTACTTAAAATATTGTAGTGTAACCAAGTAATAATGAACTTAGCCAGCGCTGCAAGTCACTCGCGTTTTAGTACCTACCATCGGACGGCTTCTGCAGATAATTTGTTTCATCTTTTCATGTTGAGGTTAAGTTAGATTATGTTAGGTTATGTTGAGAGTTCTTAGTTACTGGCTTCGCTTACACATTTTTTAAAATATGATCATTTTTAAATATTATAATGATTAAAACAGGCAAGAAGAATAGATATTTATCCACTAAATATCATCAATCAATAACTAAACATTGGGCTTGTATTTCTACTACACTAAAAGTTTTAAAACAATAAATTGCACCGATTAGTAACGTTACTGCACTTGACAATATTTGTGATTCTGTTAACGTAAAATTATGTACCTATCGAATAGCCTGACATAGCTAAATGTCTAATTTTGAAAAATTTACAATTAAATATTCGCATTTCTCCAATAGCTCCCATATCAATAAACTCTTTTTCCGTTATTTCAAAAAGACCTATTTACAAAACAATATCTACAATTTAAAAGTAACATCGGCAAGTAATAACTTTGAACACAAAAAATATTGCACAAATGTTTCGGAATCACTTCGGCACATGTAAAATTCCTTAATATGTCCTAATGAGTCCCTGTTAACAGTCAAAAAACGCAAAACCCATATTTTCTAATTCTCAGTAGGGTCGCCACACTGCAGTATCACCCGTTTGAGCAGCACCACGGTGAGTAGTACTGTTATTTAAAGCTCTCGCGTGTGCGTCTTCTTGTCTTGCCACTGCATTTCCACATGATCCATTTGTGGACAAAAGAAGTTCGCTACTACCATTCATATGCCTTTGATTAGTAGATAAATGATCCATGACAGTCTGAAGATCATTGTGGTGTGCCTGCGTGGTGTGCGAGTGGAGGGAGTGGAACGTATGACTCTGATTAGCAGCCGAATACAACTGCGAATAGAGTAAACTGGCGGGAAGGACGGGATATAAAGAACTGTTGCAGTTGGCACTTGAATACGATGTTTGGGCCATATTCTGGTGAAGAGAAAAATTGGAATTGTTAACGTGATTTGTTGTTAACGCAGTCTGAGCGTTCAAGAGATCGTCCTGAACAGGACTCTCGGCTGCACTTGAGTTATCAGACAATGACCGTGGACCAGATAAGGCGAAATCTGAATGATTAGTTGGGTATCTTGGAACCAATAGCGATGAATGTTGGGTTGTTTGTCCATGGTTTGGATGGGTTTGGGAAGATACAATTCCAAGATGTTGATCTAAGTCAGTCGTTCCAGAATCTGGAAGAACTAATTCAGACATTTAAGCAGTTTCATAAGTGGGATTAATGTGTGAAGCCCTCACAAATATAAATAGACACTTACGTGATGCAGTGGTTCCAGTTCCAAACGTGTCCTGGTTTGTTTGGTCAGCAACGGTTCCTGAAAACCCCAACGTTGATGTATTAAATTGTGATACAGTTGATCCTGCACATGAACCCAACGTACTCGGTGTCAAGTAGGAAGAGTAAGCTCCAGTGCTGTAACCCCAATGGGCGTTAGTAGTACTCAATCCGAATTGGGGCATATCTGTAACAAAGAAGGAATAACTGAATTGATTACTTGTTCATCACGCTGTTATTTTATTCCTTTTGAATGAGTTACACAAAACATTACACTTTATAAAACAGGATCATAATAATCAATTGTTGTAATGTTACTTTCATATACCAAATTGAAAATGTATTGAGGCATCCATTTTCTAAAACTAAAGTATAAAAGAACAGCATCAACGTTTTTAAAATCGTATGAAAATAATTGTCGATCGATCAACGGGGTGTATTTTATTCGACGGAGAAGAGTTCAATTACGTTCACCTTTTTCCAGGGCAAAGCAGAGCATAACATCAAATCGGACCGTAATTAATGCCTTTTGTGACCGCGGATGAATTCAATAACCCGACAGAACGGGAACGGTCGTGGCCGTCTATGTGATAGGTTTTATAAAAACGATAGCTTTGGCGAGCCGTGACAGCAGCCGCGGACATCGCGTCAGGCTGTGCAAACCGACCAACGACCAACCAACAGAGTGACCGACGCAACCGGTCGATACGTTCATCAACTGTATTACCGACGAGATGTAGAAAGTACACTCGATAACAACATCGTATGTAAACATCCAATTTATGTCGTGAATAGACACTAAAATTGACGGAATTTCATTTGGATCGTGGCTGCATTCTCCACAGAGCAGATTAGTAATGCTATTATATCAACATTGACATACTCACTTTATGCGAATTACGCAGTGGATGCCACATAACCAATCTAGTCCAATTCATTAAGAAACAAACCGAATATCCGAGATTACTAATTTGTACATTCTTCCATGTAACTCACCACTCAAAGCGTATTTATTTCACAGAGTGCATGATACTAATGATCCTGATATATATATACCTACTATATCAATTCGCTTTTCCAGAACAGCATCGGTTAGATCGATGATTAATTGAAACTGCCTATGACGTGCTGAGGAGAACTAATGAGTTCTAAATGGCGATCCATGTCTGGTGGTTTAAATAAATTATTATTGACCAACAACTTAATGTTCTTTAATAAATTAATTTGCGTGCTTAACGCGTATGTAATCTGCGATCTAGATTCAATTTCAGTGATGGATACCTTCATAAGACTTTTGCAAGCGGTATTATTTATCGTATGACATTAATTCATTTAATAATGTAGCGAGCACGAGTGTGTTTGTGTGCGATCGGGCACACGGGTGCGTGAACGGCTTATCGATTCGCCGACTAGCCGCGGGCGCCTTTCTTCATGTGCGCCGTATTTGTAAATGTGTGTGTCGTACCTGGGAAAGCAGTTAAACAGTTCAAAGAAAAATAAACTATCCGGATGTTTCCAGAAGGTTCCAGAAAGTAAACAAAAGAGTATATAAAGGAAGAGACAATCGCCTAGATAAGAAGAAATAAATTGACCGTTGCAGAAGTGAATCCAGAAATAAATTGACAGTGATAGCAGTGAAACAAATAGCGTAGTGAATAGTGATATATCAACAGTAGTAAATAAACAGAATAATTCATAGCCTAAGTTTAGTAATAATTTAATAGTGTTTTTAAGTTCTTCAATAATTAGTCTAAATAAATAGTTTTTGTCGGTATCAGTATTAGAAGTTAATTTTGTTAAACCCACGAACATTACAATACAATTAAACACAACAACATAACTATATGTATATCGCTTGGTAGGTGTTGATAGAATATTTGTGCAGGATAGTGCAATAGGTACTGACTTATAATACGATTTTACAACAAATATTATTTTTTGAAATAACGTCTTCTAAATAATCACCACTTTTTTCTAAACATTCAAGCCTATTCTGTAACCCCAAATCGAAAAGAAATGCTTAATCGAAAACTGTACCGAAGTCGGCATTCCGTAACTTCTCTTCTCAAATCGAAATGTAAAGTCTACGATCGAAATATGACATTCCAACTGCATGAAGGCTGTCGAAATTGTTGTCGATCGTAGGAATCTCCTTTCGCATGTGCGCCCGTTCAAGTAATCTATGCATCCGATACTGTCTCGTATTCTAACCTCCACTGTTGTTTTCAAGTAAAGAAGTGAAAACGATGAAAAGAGTTAACTCTAAAACATGAATAATTTAAATATGTTGATGTAGGTTTGCAAATTAGAGAAGAAGTTGTACACGAACTACAAAGTTTTGTTTAGGCAACTGCATAACATAAAATTATTGAAATTGAGATGGTCAACAATAATGAGATGATTAATTTTCAACAACAAGAGGTTAAAGCAATTCCTGATTCTGTTTTAGTGAATAACCAATAATATTTAATTTTAGTGCAGGAAAATGGAAATTTACTTGCAGTTGAAAGACGAGTAAGAGCTCAGTTAATTAGCAATAGTTTTAATTAAAAATTAATTTAATGATGAACTTAATTTACTGTTAAACACAAGCACATAATTAAGCATTATTATTTGTTTATTTATTTATATTATTTCCCTAATATATCTAATGCTTATCCTAAATTAAATTGGTAGAACTTTATATTCAAGTTGATCGATATAATATAATAAAATAATTCAAAGTGGTCTGTATTCTGTCGAAACTGCCAGACGCGGATCGCGATTTCGATATTTTTGGATCTCATCAGCGCGTCGCAGGCAGCT